CAGGCACTGTACTTCCCACCTCCACCCATCTTTCACAGTGCAGGTACTGTACTTCCACCTCCACCCACCTTTCAAAAGTGCAGGTACTGTACTTCCCACCTCCACCCATCTTTCACAGTGCAGGTACTGTACTTCCCACCTCCACCCATCTTTCACAGTGCAAGCACTGTACTTCCCACCTCCACTCATCTTTCACAGTGCAAGCACTGTACTTCCCACCTCCACCCATCTTTCACAGTGCAGGTACTGTACTTCCCACCTCCACTCATTTTTACAGTGCAGGTACTGTACTTCCCACTTCCACCCATCTTTCACAGTGCAGGTACTGTACTTCCCACCTCCACCCATCTTTCACAGTGCAGGTACTGTACTTCCCACCTCCACCCATCTTTCACAGTGCAGGTACTGTACTTCCCACCTCCACCCATCTTTCACAGTGCAGGTACTGTACTTCCCACCTCCACCCATCTTTCACAGTGCAGGAACTGTATTTCCCACCTATAATAATATAAAAAGAGAGCAAATGAGAGAGTGGGTGAGATGTTATCAACAAATTTTGTTGAAAATAAGAAAAAGTTTTGGAGTGAGATTAACAAGTTAAGAAAGCCTAGAGAACAAATGGATTTGTCAGTTAAAAATAGGAGAGGAGAGTTATTAAATGGAGAGTTAGAGGTATTGGGAAGATGGAGGGAATATTTTGAGGAATTGTTAAATGTTGATGAAGATAGGGAAGCTGTGATTTCGTGTATAGGGCAAGGAGGAATAACATCTTGTAGGAGTGAGGAAGAGCCAGTTGTGAGTGTGGGGGAAGTTCGTGAGGCAGTAGGTAAAATGAAAGGGGGTAAGGCAGCCGGGATTGATGGGATAAAGATAGAAATGTTAAAAGCAGGTGGGGATATAGTTTTGGAGTGGTTGGTGCAATTATTTAATAAATGTATGGAAGAGGGTTAAGGTACCTAGGGATTGGCAGAGAGCATGCCATAGTTCCTTTGTATAAAGGCAAAGGGGATAAAAGAGAGTGCAAAATATATAGGGGATAAGTCTGTTGAGTGTACCTGGTAAAGTGTATGGGTAGAGTTATAATTGAAAGAATTAAGAGTAAGACGGAGAATAGGATAGCAGATGAACAAGGAGGCTTTAGGAAAGGTAGGGGGTGTGTGGACCAGGTGTTTACAGTGAACATATAAGTGAACAGTATTTAGATAAGGCTAAAGAGGTCTTTGTGGCATTTATGGATTTGGAAAAATGCGTATGACAGGGTGGATAGGGGGGCACAATGTGGGCAGATGTTGCAAGTGTATGTGTTGTAGGAGGTAGGTTACTGAAAGCAGTGAAGAGTTTTTTACGAGGATAGTGAGGCTCAAGTTAGAGTATGTAGGAAAGAGGGAAATTTTTTCCCAGTAAAAGTAGGCTTAGACAAGGATGTGTGATGTCACCGTGGTTGTTTAATATATTTATAGATGGGGTTGTAAGAGAAGTAAATGCGAGGGTCTTGGCAAGAGGCGTGGAGTTAAAAGATAAAGAATCACACACAAAGTGGGAGTTGTCACAGCTGCTCTTTGTGATGACACTGTGCTCTTGGGAGATTCTGAGAGAAGTTGCAGAGATTGGTGGATGAATTTGGTAGGGTGTGCAAAAGAAGAAAATTAAAGGTGAATACAGGAAAGAGTAAGGTTATGAGGATAACAAAAAGATTAGGTGATGAAAGATTGAATATCAGATTGGAGGGAGAGAGTATGGAGGAGGTGAACGTATTCAGATATTTGGGAGTGGACGTGTCAGCGGATGGGTCTATGAAAGATGAGGTGAATCATAGAATTGATGAGGGAAAAAGAGTGAGTGGTGCACTTAGGGAGTTGTGGAGACAAGAACTTTGTCCTTGGAGGCAAAGAGGGGAATGTATGAGAGTATAGTTTTACCAACGCTCTTATTGGGGTGGGAGCGTGGGTGATGAATGTTGGGCAGCGAGGGGGAAGGCTGGGGACAGTGGAGATGTCTGTCTGAGGGAAATGGGGTGGTGTGAATTAATGCAGAAAATTTTGTAGTTTGGAAGTTGGAGGGGGTGCGGGTATTCAAAACTTTTGTCCCAGGGGGTGAGGAAGGGTTTGTTGAGGTGGTTTGGGACAGTGAGAAAATGGAGCAAAACAGAATGACTTTCAAGAGTGTACAGTCTGTGGGGAAAGGAAGGGGGGGGGTAGGGGTGGGCCCTAGGAAAGGTTTGGGGGAGGGGGGGGAAAAAGGAGGTTTTTGTGCGGGGGGGGCTTGGACTTCCAGAGGTGTATGAGGTGTTTGATGGAGTGAATGGGACAATGGTTTTTAATATTGATCTGTTGGAGTGTGAGCAAAGTAAATTTTAAAGGGGGATTCGGGAAAAAAACCCCGGCGGCCGGACTTGAGCCCCGGGAGTGGAAAGTACAGTGCCTGCATTTTGAAGGAGGGGTGTTAATTTTGCAGTTTAAAAAACGTAGTTTTAAGACCCTTCGGGGAAAGACGGGAGGGGTGAATGATGGGGGGAAAAGTTTTTTTTTTTTGGGCCACCCTGCCTTGGTGGGAAAACGGCCAGTTGTAATAAAAAAAAAAAAAAAAAAAATATAATAAAGAAGAGCTACGAATTTTTGATAAATATTATTCAGAGAGTTTTTAAAAAAAAATTAAACCCCCTTCGAATAAAAAAACAGTAAAGAAAAAATTAAAAATTTTAAAATTCAAACTATATAATAAACCTACTTGCCATAATTCGAATATATTTTTAAAAAAAAAAAAAAAAAAAAAAAAAAAAAAAAAAAAAAAAAAAAAAAAAAAAAAAAAAAAAAAAAAAAAAAAAAAAAGAGAGTTTGCTGCCCAAGGGTTTTTCAGCCAGAGTCCCGGTATTATCTGGTTTCTGCATTGAATTGTAATTGTAGGTGGAAGTGACCCTAATTTTTAAAAAAAGAAAGTATACATTGTGGGCACTTTAAGTAGTTTAAAAGGGTAAAAATAAGGGAAAGGGGTCATGTTCAATTTTTCCAAATGGTGGGGTACAGCAGGTGGTGGTGGGTAGTGACGGGAAAACAGGGCCCATCATGAAGGTGAACATGGTTTTTTTAAGCTAAGTTTGCCCCTTTTTGTTTTCAGGTAAAGCTGTAGGCTATCTTTGGGGTTTTCCCATAGGCCCCCTGGGCTCTGAGGGGTTTACCAGACCCCATCTGGGCTCTGATTGATTACCATAGGCTCATCTGGGCTTGTGTGGTTCCAGTGGGCCCCCGGGGCTCTGATGTGGTTCCGTGGGCTCACCTGGCTTGATGGGGTTACCATGGGCTCTTTGGGCTCTGTGTGGTTACCAGTAGGTCACCGGGGCTCTGATGTGGTTACCAAGGCTCCCGGGGTTTGATTGGTTATTTGGGGCTCACCGGGGTTTTATGTGGTTCCAGTAGGCTCCCCGGGTTGATGGGTTCCCAGTGGGCTCCCTGGGCTCTGATGTGGTTCCCAGTAGGTTTTCCCTGGGCCTGATGGGTTACCAGTAGGCCTTTTTTTTAAAAAAGGTTCCCCTGGGAGCTCATTTTACATGATATTCTTTAATTTTTCCTTTTGTTTAAAACGGGCCTTAAGCCCCTGGGTTTTGCCCCATTTTGGTAACCTGGAGAAACCCTAAGGGTGTTCTGGGGGTCGCGTCCCCACAACTGGTTTATGACAATCCCTCTGGGGGATCAGGGCTGATAAAACCAGGCTTTTTCTGTGGCTGCATGCAAACCAAACATAAACCACAGGACTGTTTTTAGGTGCCAGTCCATCTACCTGTACACAAAATCACACTTTATTTTTTTTACTTTTATTTTTTTTGATACCTGTCCCCATTCAAGGACTTTCCATTATGCAGTCCACCCGAGGCCGGCCCTTTTCACTAACTGTTTGGGTCTCCAAAGTGTTGCTGCAGTAATTAAGTTTTCTACATAGCTGTCACAACCTGGTTCCAGTTCCCTTTCAAAAATTTTCAGTTCTCTTCCTTAAAAATACATGGGAAAATTAAGGAGCATCATCTTTTCTGGAAAATAGAACTGGAAAAGTTCCTTGTAAAAATTACTCCCAAATTGTAGTGCCTACTTGGAAAAGTAGGCATTTCAAGATCACAGCATCAAAGGAATGTAGGCACTAAAAACTGCCCTAGCATCAATAGGAATGTTAAAAGATGTCCCCAAATAAACAATGACCCCAAACCAAAAGGTATCTGTACACTGTAAATTTTGGAGATAAATTGTATAAATGGCACAATGGAAAAATAGACACAAATGTAGTATAATGTGATCCTTTATTGACTACTTTTCTCCCACACAGTGGGACTTGATAAATCCCACTGTGGGCAAAACATAGTCCATCTGAAACCTTGCTTGCTTAATGTAAATGGTGAATTTGAGGTTTCTGACTAATCTTTTTGTGGAAAACATATCAACCATTTCCCACATAGGATGATCCAAAGAAGAAAACAAATTCACCATTACTTATTCAGTACTGTCTTGCCAGAAGTAAGCAGACATTGCAATTCAAATGACTCTCTAAACTGCAACATCCTTACCTTTCCTTCAGAGTGCAGGCACCATATTTCACTCATCCTTTCAGTGCAAGTACAGTGGTACCTCAGGATACGAACTTAATTCGTTCCAGAAGGCTGTTCGAGTGCCGATAATGAACGAATTTGCTCCCTTAAGGAATAATTTTAAATTGATTAACCCCTTTCAAGCCCCCCAAAAATACACTTACATAATTGTACTGTGTTCTGAGGTGTTTGTATCCCGAGGTACCACTGTACTGTACTTCCCACCTCTAAGCATCCATCAGAGTGCAGGAACTGTATTTCCCACCTCCAGAACTCAGATTCAGTTGAACAATTTTCCTGAATCCATTCATGAAAGTTCTGGCCATATAATCTTTACTACTAAATGTAAAACTTTATGAATACTAGGGGAAGTTTAATGAATGCAATGAGTAGCTAAAAATAAAAAAAAGCTTAAAAAAATTCGGGAAAGATTAATGAATACTACCAACTGCTCCATAGTCAACAGATGATACAGACTCAGTCAGAGAACTGCTGTGTGTAGGTTGTGGGGAGTTTAAGTTGCGCTCATAACCTTCAGTGCCACGGTACAGAACGTAATGCTGAATCATGAAGAAAACATCAAATATAACCGAGAAGAGACCAAGGCCCAAATTTCGTGGGATCTCCAAAGATAGATCCCCCCTCATTGTAGTTTTTAGGGAATAATAAAAAATCGAGCCACTGAAGAATTTTCCCCCTTTAAGTCCCAAAAGGATGTTTCCCTGCTCCAGCCCCGACGTGTCTTCCTCCTGTAGTTGTGTAGGGCCTGCCCAAAGAAAAAAAAAATTTGGCCATTAACAAACTAAACCCTTCTGTTTTTTCTTTTACATGGGATCATCTCCCACCTTTATACCTTTGTGTGTTGAAGAGTTTTTCTACCCAAGAGCCCGGCCCTGGGCCCCGGTTGTCTTGACTGGCCTGGTCAACGACTTTGCTGCTGGGGATCTGCGACTCACACATCCTCACGCGATTGATTGCACACCCCCAAAAAACATTGATAATCAAATCATTCAAAGCTGGATGCAAGCGAAGTGTCCTTAGGATTAGGATTATGTAGCACAGTACATGTAGTTTGCGTACCCCGCACGTAGCTGGGATTATGTAGCACAGTCATGTAGTGCAGACCCCAGCACGTTCTGGTATTTGTGCACGTCAGTAGTGCAGTACCACAGCACAGTACTGGTATTTTTGTAGACAGTAATGAATGCAGTACCACGCCCAAACGCGGTATTAGTAGCACAGTAATGTATCAGTACCACAGCACAGGTGGTATTATTTTGCACAGTACTGTATGCAGTTTCCACCGCACAGCAGGGGGTTTTTGTAGCACATACTGTAGTGCAGTACCACACAAGTAGGGTATTATTAGACAGTACATGTGGCAGAACCCCAGCACACAGCTGGTATTATTGCACAGTACATGTAGTGCAGCACCACGCCCGTAGTGGTTTATGTAGCACAGTACATGAGTGCAGACCACGCACAGTAAAATGGATTATGTAGCACGACATTAGTGCATACCCGCCAAGCATTGGGATTTTGTAGCCCGTACAAGTAGTGCAGCACTGAGCCATAGTGGTATTAGTAGCACAGAAAGAGTGCGCACCACAGCCCCGAGCTGGTATTATGTAGCACAGTACATGTAGTGCAGACCACAGCACAGTAGTGGGATTTTGTGCACAGAAAGTGTGCGTACCCCAAGACAGTAGTGGGGATTATGTACACATAAGTAGTGCAGTACCCCCAGACAGACTGGTATTATTTAGCACAGTACATGTAGTGCAGTACCCCGCACAGTATGGTATTATGTGCACAGTAATTAGTGCAGCACCAAGCACAGTAGCTGGTTTTATGTACCGTAATGTAGTGCAGCACCACAGCACAAAGTGGTATTTTGTAGCACAGACATGTAGTCAGTACCACGCACAAATAGTGGTATTATGTAGACTTTTCATGTAGTGCAGACCGCAGCACAGCATTTTGGTATTATGTAGCACGTCATGTGTGCAGTACCACAGCACATGCTGGTATTATGTAGCAAGTACATGAGTGAGCACCACAGCCAGTAGTGGTTTTTGTAGCACAGTACTGAGTGCAGCACCACAGCACAGTAGCTTATTATTGCACAGTCATGTGTGCAGTACACGCACAGCCTGGTATTTTTGTAGCACTACTTTAGTGCATCCCCAAACACAGTAGCTGGTATTATGTACACATAATGTAGTGCAGTACCACAGCACAGCACTTTGGGTTTTTGTAGCACATACATGTAGTGCAAACCACAGCACAGTAGTGGTATTATGAGCACGTACATGTAGGCAGTCCACAGCACAGTAGTGGTTTATGTGCACAGTACATTTTTAGTGCAGTACCACAGCACGTAGCTGGGATTATGTAGCACAGTACATGTAGTGCAGTACCACAGCACAGTAGCTGGTATTATGTAGCACAGTACATGTAGTGCAGTACCACAGCACAGCAGCTGGTATTATGTAGCACAGTACATGTAGTGCAGTACCACAGCACAGTAGCTGGTATTATGTAGCACAGTAAAGGACCATAATGGAAATAAGTCAGTGTCTGACATTTTTAGGTTATATTATTATTATTATTATTATTATTATTATTATTATTATTATTATTATTGTAGTCTTAAGCTCAAATTTGACCAAAATGCTGTGCACACTAAGGGGCTGTCTGCATGCATACCTTAATGTCACCCATCTCTTTACAAACGTTTTAAGCTGAAATAAAATTTATTATTATTATCATAACTTTGAGCATCAATATAACAGTTTGGTATATGATTTAAGACATATTAGGTTTTTTATAACAATCTGATATAATATTAGTAGCAGTGAATATAGAAGCAGAAGACATTTTTGGTTACTTCATATGAAATATCTTATGATTGTGAGAAATTCAAATTCAAATTTTTATTTCTTTGATGCAGTAGACAGTTGTCAGGAAATGAAATAGTCTAGCAAGTGATGTAGTGGAGGCAGGAACCATACATAGTTTTAAGACGAGGTATGACAAAGCTCAGAGAGCAGAGAGAGAGAAGACCTAGTAGTAATCAGTGAAGAGGAGGGGCCAGGAACTGAGTCTCAACCCCTGCAACCACAATTAGGCGAGTACAGATACAGTGGGACATCAGTATACGACCTTAATTCATTCCAGAAGGGTGTTCAAGTGCTGCTCTGTTTTGAGTATCGAACAAATTCTTCCCAACTAATTTTCTGTTTGGTTGGCTGTTATCACTAATTATCGTAGGCCCCACGGTGACTCATTCATACAAATAACACAAAAAACACCAAAAAATGAAAAGAAACATGAAAAAGTTCACAGAAAAGGTCTGGAAGGTTGCATTTGTACGGTCAAGTGCTGAGCTTTGCCAGAGTAGAAAGCTGGTCGTATATCGAGGTTCCACCAAGACGTACTTTACAAATACAGTGGACCCCCGGTTTACGATATTATTTCATTCCAGAAGTATGTTCAGGTGCCAGTACTGACCGAATTTGTTCCCATAAGGAATATTGTGAATTAGATTAGTCCATTTCAGACCCCCAAACATACACATACAAACGCACTTACATAAATACACTTACATAATTGGTCGCATTGGGAGGTGATCGTAAACCGGGGGTCCACTGTAATAAAGCCATGCACTGCATCTCAGACAAATTAATCCTAATGCTTAAAGACTACTGAAGACTTAGACTATTAAGTAGGATTTCTTAAGCAGTTAACTATTATATGCATAATAAGAAAGGCAGTTCTTGGAGTTTACTTGGAGAGAGTTCCGGGGGTCAACGCCCCCGCGGCCCGGTCTGTGACCAGGCCTCCTTAGGTCAGTGTCCCAGGATGCGACCCACACCAGTCGACTAACACCCAGGTACCCATTTTACTGATGGGGAACATAGACAACAGGTGGAAAGAAACACGTCCAATGTTTCTACTCTGGCTGGGAATCGAACCCAGGCCCTCACCGTGTGAAGCGAGAGCGTTAACCACCAGGCCACCATGTACAATTTTAAAAGCATTATTTATTATTTCAAACTGATTCAGTGATCTTCAGTTTTGTGGACTGAATAGATATGAAGAAGATACAGCAAGTTACTCAGTTACACTACAGATATAATGGGACAAGATGAGTATTAATTTTTTATGGGAGTTGGAGGAAGACCGGAAGAACATGGACACAGTTGGATGAGCTGGTTTTGTCTGACATATTGTAATGCTGCTTCATTTATGTTAGGGAGATGAGATGCTTTTTAATAGTAACTCTGAATTAACTGGCAGACAAGGGACTGTTTGATGATTCAGGCAATGAATTCCAGATTTTAGGGCCTTTTATGTGCACCGAGTTTTTGCAAAGATTGAGTCAGACATGGGGGATGTTGAAGAGAATTTGTCTTGTGTTATGCCTATGTGTTCTGTTACAGCTATCAAAAAAAAGTTTTAGAGGGCTTATTTTGGAGTTTAATGTTATATACATATATATATAGATAGTAGGCACAATAGTATGAGTGCATATTTTGTATATTAAGTAAGTTCAACCTAGGTAGTAGGTTGGTAGACAGCAACCACCCAGGGAGGTACTACCGTCCTGCCAAGTGAGTGTAAAACGAAAGCCTGTAATTGTTTTACATGATGGTAGGATTGCTGGTGTCCTTTTTTCTGTCTCATAAATATGCAAGATTTCAGGTACGTCTTGCTACTTCTACTTACACTTAGGTCACACTACACACACATTTTTTTTTTTTTCAACAAGTCGGCCATCTCCCACCGAGGCAGGGTGACCCAAAAAGAAAGAAAATCCCCAAAAAGAAAATACTTTCATCATCAATCAACATTTTCACCTCACTCACACATAATCACTGTTTTTGCAGAGGTGCCAAGAATACAACAGTTTAGAAGTACAGTGGACCCCCGCATAACGATATTATTTCAATCCAGAAGTCTGTTTGGGTGCCGTTATAGACCAAATTTGTTCCCATAAGAAATATTGTGAATTAGATTAGTCCATTTCAGACCCCTAAAAATACACCTACAAAAGCACTTACAAAAATAAACTTACATAATTGGTCGAGTTGGGAGCTGATCGTTATCTGGGGGTTCACTGTATATATGTATAAAAATACACAATATATCCCTCCAAACTGCCAATATCCCAAACCCCTCCTTCAGAGTGCAGGCATTGTACTTCCCATATATATACACACCCCTCTGGGTTTTCTTCTATTTTCTTTCTAGTTCTTATTCTTGTTTATTTCCTCTTATCTCCATGGGGAAGTGGAACAGAATTCTTCCTCGTTAAGCCATGCGTGTTGTAAGAGGCAAGTAAAATGCCGGGAGCAAGGGGCTAGTAACCCCTTCTCCTGTCTAGATTACTAAATTTAAAAAGAGAAACTTTTGTTTTCCTTTTTGGGCCACCCCGCCTCGGCGGGATATGGCCAGTTTGTTGAAAAACAAAACAAAAAGTAAGTTCAAGTTTTTGAAGAGTGGCCGAGTGTGTTGTCTGGCACTGGAATGGATGATAGTCTACACAGCAGCTTTTTGTTGGGTTATTAATGGTTTTATGTGATTTGGTGTAGTAGCTCCCCCAGCACAAATACCATAGGTGAAGTAAGGGAAGAGTAGAAAGTGGTATAGGGTAAGTAGTGTTGTTTGAGGTACATAGTAGCATATCTTGGAGAGGATGACTACTGTTCTGGAGACCTTCTTGCCTATGTGTTGGATGTGGCTATTAAATTTCAATTTCAG